CACTACGGCCCTTCTTTTTGAAATACCGAAAATCGGGAGTTCGTTGTGGTGCCGTCTCCTGGATTTGTATCCTCCAACGGAAAACAGGCGACACCGCTCAAAACCGGTCCGCCGGAACGCCGCCGCTCGCTCCTTTCCCCCTCGCTTTGGGTCGCCATGGCAACAGCAGGGAGTGGTGAAAGAAAGGGGACTCTCAGGTCTCCGCAATTTTTGACGTCAAGGCACCGGCGCCGATCGCGCGGGAACTTCGAATTCGGTATTTGGAAATTGTTTTTTTATTTCACGAATACTGAGTTCCCAAATTTCAAATTTTGAGGGTAATGTCCCGGCATCGTTTTCAATCGTTTCGGATAATAAAAAAAAATATGATTTTGATGTGTCCCCTTTCTATTGACCGCAACACTAATGCACCACCTGGATAACGTGAATGACCAACACAGGGAGACAGCTGATCGTTTGCGGTTGCGTTTTACGTGGACGACCTACTTACCGGAGCCTCCGACGTTGGTGAGCCAGACAGATTCACGATGAGTTCAACGCAATCATGGCTGAAGCCGGAATGCGACTCCGGAAGTGGACGTCCAATGCTGCGGAACTACAATGTGGATTTGATGAGACCGAGGAACCACAAGCATCCCAAGAACCAAGCAAAGTTCTCGGACTCGTGTGGCAGCACAGCCAAGACAAATTGCTGATTCCTATGGAAGGAGTTTTGCATTTCGTCAGCACTGCCGCAGACACCAAGCGTTTTGTGCTACAGGCATCGGCTCGAGTATTCGACCTTTTGGGTCTTATCCCTCCGTACATGATTCGGGTCAAGATCATATTCCAGCAGCTGTTGGAACGTGAAATCGGCTGGGATGCGGAGCTGCCTGACGACCTTTCCGAGCGGTGGCAGCGATGGTGCACGGAACTGCCGCTCTTGAAGGCTCTGGCCGTCGGCCGCTGCACCATGCGGTGCCCAACAAAAAGCGCCAGGTCGGTTCAACTTCCCATGTTTTTCGACGCAAGCTTACTCGCCTACGGGTCGTGCGCCTACCTTCGAGTGGAGGGCGAAGAAGGAGACACGCCTGCATGCCTCGTGCTCGCGAAGTCACGAGTGGCGCCGCTCAAGCGACTGACACTCCCTCGTCTAGAACTAATGGGAACGGTGATTGGGACACGTCTTGCCCGCTATCTGAACGACACAATGAACCTCCAGATGAGGGCGTTCTATTGGACGGATTCGATTATTGCACTACACTGGATAAGAGGCCAAGCCTCAAAGTGGAAGCCGTTTGTAGGAAACAGGGTGAATGAGATTCAGTCCGCAAGCGACCCCGCAAGCTGGAACCACTGTCCTGGGAGTCAGAACCCAGCGGATATGCTGACGAGGGGAATTAGCGCCGAGACATTGATCGAAAGCGAAAAGTGGTGGCAAGGGCCTGAGTGGCTTTCAACGGAACCTTGCAACTGGCCTAAGGGTCAGGCATTCTATGACAGCATCCCAGAGGTGCAAGAGGAACAAAAGAAAGAACACCACGTGCTGCACACTGCGGAGGAGAAGGGGCCGGAGCTCCTAAATCTGAGCAGTTACAGTCGCATAAGGAGACCCCTCAGGGTTACCGCTTGGATGTTTCGCTTCATCAAGAATAGTCGAAACAGGCAAGAACGGGCCGGGGGTCCACTTACTGCAGAGGAGCTCGAGCAAGCCGAGAATTACTGGATCGTGAAGGCTCAAGAAGCATACAGAGACGAATTGGGCTCAGCGGGTGGAACCCTAAGCACGAACAGCGAAACCGCGTTACTGAAGCCCTTTGTGGATGCGGATGGACGTGTCAGGGTCGGTGGGAGGCTTCAGAATGCACAGACCGATGTGACAGTCAGACATACGCTGTTATTACAGCCCTCTCACCCCCTCACTGAACTTATTGTAAACGACGCGCACCGAAGGACGATGCACGGTGGTGTCCAAGATACCTTAAACGAAGTACGTGAACGCTACTGGGTACCGCCTGTGCGTCAGCTCGCCAGGAAAGTAATAACCCGTTGCAACGCCTGCCGGCGAGCAAGACTGATACCAGCTTCCGCACCGACCGCTCCGCTGCCAGAAGAGCGCGTCAACCGGGCCGCCCCCTTCGAGGTGGTGGGAATTGACTTTGCCGGACCACTACTGGAGAAGGCTTCCACGTCGGACCAAAAGGCCTACATTGCTCTGTTTACCTGCGCCGTTACACGAGCCGTGCACTTGGAACTCGTTTTCAACCTGACGACTGAGGCCTTCATTATGGCCTTTAAACGTTTCACTGCACGTCGGGGACTACCGAGCGTCATGTACACGGACAATGCCCTCACCTTTATAAGGGCAGCAAAGGACTTGTGCGGCATGTGGGACGTGCTGAGGAACCCACACTTCCTGGACCACTGCTCACAAAATCGTATCAAGTGGAGGTTTATTGCCAAAAGAGCAGCGTGGTGGGGCGGCTTCTGGGAAAGGATGGTACAAACAGTGAAGCGGAGCCTACGAGTGATACTTGGAAAGAACAAGTTTGGATTCGAAGAAATGACGACCATCCTACAAGAAGTTGAAGCCGTCGTAAATTCTCGACCCCTGGCTCCCGTTCACGACGCTCCACACGAGCAGGAGGCGTTGACGCCCGTGCACTTTTTGTCAGGGGGAGGAGACCGGTTGACGGCTCTCCCATCGACCAGCCTAGAAAACGTGCCAGCTTCGACAAGGGGGGACTTCACCAGACGGTGGCGACATCGACAAAGACTACTGATTCAGTTTTGGGGGAGGTGGCAAAAAGAGTACCTCCTCCAGCTCCGCTCAGCACACCGGGCAACAGACACGCACGAACGACCTGCGGGACGGGGATCGCGTCCTCGTCCATGAAAACAAAACGCCACGGCTCATGTGGAGGACGGGGCGGATAGAACAAGTACAGCGGGGTCGGGACAACCACGTGCGTTCGTGTTTGGTGCGCTTGCCTGGTAGGGTTACACTTCGGCGCCCCGTCCAGCTCCTCTTCTCCCTTGAACTATCCGAGTGAACGAATTCTGCTCATCGCTGGGGGAGGCGGGAGGGGGGAGGGTGTTGCGTATTGTGAAGAACGCCATTTCCGTCCCCGCTCGCGTCCTCCGAAGCAGGTGCCGGGTGAGGCCCGAGCCGACATCCCCAGCAGCCCGGGCGCGACGATGGGGAGTGGGGAGAGGGCTAGAGGGGAGGAGGAAAGCGGAGGACAAGCCAGGAGTCGAGACTGGAGAACGAGGGAGAAGAATTTGGAGAATCGGGGGAGAAAAAGACCGGGAAAGAAACGGGGGGAACGGGACCGACAGACGCCGACAGAACTGTTGAAACGAACGGACCATCCTTATAACCATCCTCAATACAATTGTTTTGTTTTAGCCAAACGTCGTTTTTCATTGCCTCACACGCTCACCATCTGCAACACGGTCGACACAACCACTTTTATCTATGCTAAACAGTACATTTCGCATCGCACTGAGTCCGATGCTCAACAGTACCCTAAAGCAGCCAATTTTGACATAAAAAAACCCTCCGATGAATGTGATGACAACAAGACACGTTTAGGATTTTTCGAAAAGCGAACAAATCATTCCCTGCATTAGTGCGGTTGGGGGGTAGCTAGCTGAGGCAAAACAAGCTTAAGCCCAACTTTCCCATTGCTTCTAGATAACCCTTGAACTAGTAAAACCCCCAAATGCAGAATCTCACGACATCCAGTTGTACGAATCTTTAACGTTGAAAGCATTTCTGCTACTTCCCTTTTTATAAATGATATCCACTCGTGTACATCGGGTCCGTACAAAGGATAAAATCATCTACATACCGCCTGATTATTACACCGATTTCCAACATAGAATGTACCTTCATGTGGACGACTACTAAAGTTAATCCTAAATTTATCTCCGGAGAAGTATATTCACCAAAGTCATGAGGTCCTTAATTCGCAAACCAAAGTATTATATATATACTTATACTTTGGATCAGGTGCATCTATATATAATAGATGCGCCCGAGGTTGTCAACATCCCATCATTCATAGTTAATTTCTAATGAATAAACTAAAGACCTTGTTAGGTCTTGGGGTTGATTCTGCAACGATAGAGATCGGTCATGGCGATCAGAACACGGTATACTCTCTATTCCCGCCGCCAAAAAGAGCGCAGCTCTCATATCTTTCCCTTCTCATTCACCCTCATATAGAAAGCCTATGCGGGCAGTAACTGAGGTTGAGGAGGAGAAGAGAGCTCGCGGGGAATGTCGGACGCCGGCTGCTTTCGTCGCTACTGCACGCGCCGGCGTCCAGCGTTTGACTTTCGCATTCCGGCGCGTTCGACGAGTTCAGTAGGGACAGAGGCAGCTAGCTTTACATCTACCCCCTAGTCATTCCAACCATGCAAAGGAGAGCTCGGCGTCCTGACGTCCCCGAGCCTTCACGTCTCCTCCTTCCCTTCTGTTTCTGCTCGCACATTTCAGAGAGTTTTCAACTACTCGGTTGGAGTCACTTGGCTTATGGGCCGTGTTTGGAATACGAGCTGCGTAGATGGGACGAAGGTGTTGATCGTCTGGAAGCCACTCAGCCTTTCCGCCCCTTTTCTTCTCTCCACCCTACAACGCAACGCGTGCACGGTTTCAATTATTCGGCTCAGGAGGCGTCCGTCATTAAATTGCAAACGCTCCCCATTGTTTAGATTGATCCCTCTTTGAAATCTAGACTTTTTAGTGTTCTCTTGTCGTAAACAGCTGTGAGCGAGAATGGCGTACTCGTTCACAGTAAAACACACATGTGTGATACAGCCTTGATGCGTGCCAATGTGCAGTGTAAGTCGTCTGCTTCTTGTGCAGGAGGTCCGTGACGTAAGAACGACGCCGAGCACTGATTGGCTTTGATTGAAAGGATAATGGATAGACCTCAATTATAGACGCTTTCAGGTCTACCCACTAATGTTTTCAATGAGGCAATAGGAGCATTTTTGTTTTTCGTTGTCTCCAGATGTATTTCCGAACCCCGTCAATTCTTCAAGTGATGAAGACTATTTAACGGAAGCTCACAGTCTTCGACTTTTACTTGAACAGACAGATCCGTTAAAAGAAGATACGAACTTAATGAACGATTATCAGTTGATCACGGAGGTAAGCCAACTTTTTATATTTTATTTTGCCTGAAACTATATATTTTTTTTATATAGACTTCGAAAAATTGTGCTTCCAGATAACTTACTGTGAAATCATATGGACTTTATCCATTAAACTAATACTTGTGGTATAATCTATTGTACTAAATAAACTATCCCAAAATATACTAACACTGTAGAACCAAAATGTGGTCGCTTGCCGAGGAGTTTTATAAGAACAATTTATTGAGGTCGTGTCTGGTCTTTTTGGTTTCCTTCAAATACACAGCGCGTTGAATTACATCGTGCAAGTTCCCAAATATAATAAATACCTATTTACGCACCTGGTTGGATGCATTATTCGATATTTCAGGTTTTGTACAACAGCCCAGACAGTAAATTATATGCCTCAACCGATGGAGGGAATGACCGGCTATGTGAAATACACATTTACCAGATCTTTCCTAATTTCGCAGACTTGGATGTCCGAGGGGTATTCAGTCGCAGAAAGTAAGTATTAGTACAGTTGGTTTCGTAATCAAATAGTATATAATAGCTGGAACACTTCCAAAGAATACGGTTCTTTTTTTTTTCGTCTAATCGCTAAATTATGATGTCATCATTAGCTGTACCATATTTTAAATACAAAGTGATAAATATTATTATAAACGACAATAAAATTTAAATTGGAACCAGAGAACTTGCCCGGAGAAAATGACAACAGCTCCAGAAGTCCTACGACTCGGTTCACTAGCCGCAATGACATGTTGCAACTTTATTTCAATCAAAGCATTTTCGCCGCATCAGTGGTCATAAAAATCAGTTGAATGAATATTTCTATTTTTAAATGTAAAGATAGGTTTAAAAGAAACATATTTTTAAAACCTAGCACACGACTGAGGGGACAAAAAAAAAAAGGCGACTCATTTTTGGACATTTCGTGAAAAAACAAAAGCAAAAAAAAACCAAAGACAGCTTGAAAAACCTTTTGATTTCAGTGATTGGAAGCCTTATGCGAATGCGTTACTAAAAATATGGGCTTGCATAACTACATTCCCGTTGACCCTTTACGCAGAAAGGTATATCAACGTCCCCAAGGAAGAGTTCCCTACTGAAAAGACCCATTTGCGCCCATAGACCAATATCCCATAATACCGTACAAAAGATTTTATGTATAGACCCAGTTTGAGAAACACGTGAAAATTATGTAATTTTATCAGTGGACTTTACGTTCCTAAATGGTTCAAGAGCATCCTTGTTACCTTACATGCGCATCGTGCACATAAATAACGCGCTATATTGTCGGTGCAGTGTGCCGCATGCACTTAATTAGAATACCACTAATTAGAAAATCATTAAAGACGGGGGAGGAAAGCAATGCAATATATGTGCAATATCTGACAGGGAGAGCATTGTAGACCACCATGACTCAACGTAAAAAGGGCCTGACCATTCTTCGTTCCGAAGAAAATTCGTATAATGGGCGTTATTTTTCTTTTCAGATTATATTACGAGATATAAACCGCGTACGTCCATATGTTACTTCTTTTTTTTTTCTCAAAAAGGCAATGCGTCGATTAAAAATGTATGTTTGTTCTTCGTGTATGCAACAAGCAGAGCTTGATTGTTTAGATTAGGTGCGAAATTTGTGCATCCCGTATAAAACCCCCAAAGAGGCTCCGGCATGCGCGTTCACTCTTTTCCATTTGTACTAGTCCTCGGGGGGGGGGGGGGGGGGGGGGGGGGGGGGAAGCGGGTTTTGCGGTTGAGCCAGGGGGAGGGGGTGGTGCTGGAGATTTGGACAATTCCAGAGAATGTGTCGGAAGCGAACTGCGGAGGCCCTGGCAGAGAAATAAGGGCAAGCCGGGCTGGCATTCGGAGTCCCGGCCCCCAGAGGCCAAGACTACTGGGGTGACAGCGGAATCCGTCCGGATCCTTGTGAGAAGGACCTCCTCTCGCCGGAGCAGGTCCGCGGGAGGGGATGTGGGCAAGCGGGAATGAGTGCACGCGTAGTGACCCTTATGCGTGCCTTGCCCGGGACGAATGAGGCCTCCGCCTCATCCGGAATGGGGGCGGGATCAAGGGGGGGATGTTCAATCAGGGCTCGAGCGACTTGGTGGGCTTTGTCCTTGTGAGTGCCGTGCTGCAGTGGTGACCAGGGGTCCAGACAATCCCGACTTCTTTACCACATGTACGATGTAGGACATGAATCTAATGGCAGATATGTAGCAAAGATCGCGTTGATTTAAGATGTCGAATGGCAGAGGTACAATCCGTGTGAACGCGCGCCCGAGTGGCATCGGGCGTCAGCGTTAGTGCTTGTATGGCGTCTCGAATTGCATATAACTCCGCGATAAGCGGATAGTCTAACTGTGTGGCGTAGAACGTCGATGTGTCAATGGAAGGATGAGATGGGAATGCATTGCGGTAGCGATGCCATGTCGGCATGTTGCTTCGTCGGTGTAGATATCTATCGCGGACTCGTTCGAGCTTGGGGAAGCGACCTGCTCCACTCGTGATGGCGCGGAACCAGACGGATGTGTGCGGACAGTAGCAGACTTGTTGGTAGTATTGTAGTGTAGTGCCATGGTGGCAGTGGGACCTCAACCTACGGAGAGCAGCAAGGAGATTCCTTGTGCAGAGCAGTGGTTGCATGCTTCAAATTGCGAGCTTCTCTTCGTTGAGTGACAAGTTATTCAATAGTGTTTAGTGGCGCATACAGGTACAAGTGCCAGGTAGGGGTATGTCGAGGGATACCAGTCATGCCGCGAATGGCGTTCCTATTGATTATTTCAATAGTCTTCCACTGAGGTGCAGTGAGACGCCGTAATTGAGCTTGGTATATCAATTGAGATTGCAGGACACACTTAACCAGCCATTGGGCTACCTCAGTCCCAGCTCCGCCATATGGTTTAGAGATGCATCGGATGAGGTGTGTTGTAGACGCCGCCGTCTTTCGTGCCGCTTGAAGCCACTGCTTGGCTGAGCCGGACTGGAGGATGAGGAGTCCCAAGATCTTGGTTTTTGAAACCATCGGAATCTTTGTCAGTCCTATTCTGAGATGCATGGGAGTCAATGCAGTTTCTTCCAGGCCGCGTTATTGCACACATGAAAAAATTGCGATTTCTCAGGAGACATCGTTAGGCTAAAGGTCGTTGCACTTAACGTATTGCCATCTTGTTTGGGGAACGTCAACAGTTACCAATATTAAAAATGTTTTCATGTTGCAAAAGAAAATATTGAGATGTATATGTAACGTGCCACGCGACTTTCATACCGCTGATTTATTTAAGAACTTTCAAATAATCACTATTCACAAGTTATATCAGTATCGGCTTTCTACTGGTTCCAAAAGTGAAAAAATATGAGGCACATGTCTTTTGGAAAACCTTGCGTCGCTGAGGAAAACTTCTCCTCCGTATCCTACCCGTAACCCAGAGAAATGGAAGATGGTCACGCAGCGAACAAATTATGGCTCTCAAATGTTAAGCTCCACACTCCCGCATTTGTTAAATAGCCTTAACAGCAATAAAACATTGATCTGGAAAGTCTAACCTTTAGAGACTTGCGCGTATTATATGTTTGTACGTGATCCTTTTCTCTCTTAACATTTGCAAAAGGTGCTTTTAGTTTTGTGTACTGATTTCTAACATCATTGCCTCTAGCACGCTATTATGTTGCTTTTTGTTTGTTTTCCCGCACGCTTCCTGCTGTCCATTGTAGGGACCCAGGGACTCGTCAAGCTGCTTACTGCAGCTTTTTTTCTTGGGCCCCACCATCATAAAGAATGGAAATAAAGCATTATTATTATTATTATTATTATTATTATTATTATTATTATTGTCTCGCATAACGAAGGAGTTCAAAAGCCCGTCCGCTTTTTTTACGCTGTATTGTTCCTTAGTTAGATCCCAGCTAGAGTACGCCTCGGTTGTTTGGAACGGCATTTCCAAAACTAACAGTTCATCTGTCCAGCGAGTCCAAAACAAATTTATTTCTATCTTTAAATATCGTTACCTTGAGAATGGTGATCCTTGTCTGAACGGTGTGTGTAACTCGCAACTTGTCAACTTGTTGAGCCTCCAGCAGCGTCGGGTGAAGGCAGATTTGTTGTTTTGTTTAAGACCCTGCACGGCTCGATTAACTCTCCCAGCCTTCTGTCCGAAGTGATTCTCAGAGTTCCACGTGTGCCTACACGGCTCCAATCATCTTTTTATATAGCTCGACATTTTAGCAACCTAAACCCGATCCATAGATCCGCGGAGTCTTATAATCGCTACTCTGACACAATTGATATTTTTAACTCATGCGGGAGCAAGTTCGGAAATGCTGTTCAAATCTTCCTCTTGCAGGAAAAGGGCTGATCAGTTGAAGCGCTGATGTAGTATTTGCTTTTTGCTCTCACACCTGGTGATGTCTCTGTTTTGTGCTTTTGATTTCCCTTGTTAATCTGAGTGTTTTTCATACTTGTTAATATTTTTATTCTCAGACTGGAGAACTACGTTCTGCTTCTGCACTCGTGTGTATGCGTGTTTGTATGTGTGTGTTTTTGCTCATTTTTTTTAGTGTGCCAGCACTAAGACCGATTGGTTTTTCCTGGACACTTTAATAAACATTGATTGATTGATTGATTGATTATACTAAGGAGACTGACATTTCGGGTGACTTCTTATATTTTGTATGCCCCTGTGAATGCATGATTTTCCTCTTCCTTTTATTTTACAATGGTGGACTTGATCCTACAAGCCTCTGTGGCTTTGATCAGTCCTGGAACTGAAATGGCATATTTGCACCACGGAATAAAACTACTACTACTACTATTCTTCTTCTTCTTCTTCTTCTTCTTCTTCTTATTATTATTATTATTAATATTATTATTTTATTTTATTTTATTTTATTATTATTATTATTTCGCAAACATCTGTGGTCGAGTTTCCCTGTGATTTCAGCAATGTGATCTCCCTCCCACATTTTGTCTCGATCAAAGACAAAATGTGGGAGGGAGATCACATTGCTGAAATCACAGGGAAACTCGACCACAGATGTTTGCGAAATTTTTTCCCACCACTTCCAGTCCGTATTTAGGCATCAACCGAACTCTCCCATTAACGCCGCGCCAGCTGCCTCTAGTAATTCAACCTGTATTGCCTTTTTTGATGAGGAGCTCTTACATGAGTGTGTAAAGAAGATGAAGCCGTCTTTGTCTTCTGGCCATGACGGCATTCCGTCGGTCCTATTGAAGGCCTATAGTGCAATATTTATCCCTATTTTGGTACACATCTTTAACAACTGCGTAAAAACCGAAGTGTTTCCCGTCTTGTGGAAAACAGCACTTGTTGTACCCGCACATAAGTCCGGTTCAAGAACAAGCGTCTCAAAATACAGGCCTATATCTCTTCTTTGTACATTTTCAAAACTCTTCGAAACAGCTTTACACAAAATATTGTCGTTTAAGCTCAAACATTCTCTCATCCCTAGCCAACATGGTTTTATGGCGGGTCGCTCAACCA